TCCCCCCCAAACCATTTGGATGTTATACACCCCTTTCATTTTTTTTTTTTTTTTTGCTGCTTATCTCTTCCTCCTTAAAACGAGCAAAGCCAGGGCTTTCTTTTGCAACAATAACAGGTACATATTGTGCAGTCAACTTCTCATCTAAACCAGCAGGAAAAGCCTTCCCATGCACTTCCTACGGTAGACTGCTACTTTAGCACCTCCCCAACATGGGAAAGGTTGCATTCTTATAGTCTGCCCTGTGGACCGTTCACATTGAGGAAGTGTAGGCCTTTTCACACTGACTTAACTTGGCAGGACATAGCGCGCCATTGACAAACCCATTCATTGTGTATGTGGTGCGTGCGCACAAGGACAGAACCTGTGTCGCTCAAGGTGGCCGTTTGTCGTTACAGTTCAATGCCGCTGTAAGGTGTTAACGAGTCATTTCAGTTTCAATTTTTACCAATTACGAATGGTTCGGAATGTGGGTACGAAAGTTGCAGGGCTCAGAACCTCCAGCAAGGTTAAGAACTACTGTGCTTGACCTAAATGACTTGTAAATGACGAAACCATGTTAACCTTTACCTTTCATGTTTGTGGATGAGCACTGTTTTGCTCTTGCTTGAATGGCAAATAAAAACTATGATCAATTCCTATGGGCTTTACATTCCTGATTGAAACAGTGACAGAGAAGTCAGCATCAAGTGATGCAGTACAATGATACTGTATGAACGCAGGCATGTTCTTTGACTCATCTGTGAGGTATGTTGTGGACACACATAATCTGAAGTGCAGTAGAGGTCGCCTAAAGTCTGGACAATTATTGGCGCCTGTTGTGAAACCCAATACTTTTAAGCCCCTCAAAATGTGCCCTCACTTCCCTATTATCCTTTATGAGTCAGAACATAGTCAGTGCCATATTTAGACAGTGAAGTCAAAACTTGGGTGACGGGTTCCAAATCGCGGGATACAGTATCGCTCCGATGTGACAACTATGTATCAGAACATTCTGCACTTTTCAAGAGAGAGAGACATGGTTGGTATTTAAAGGGGAATGAATTAGGCCCTTCTATGGATGTCTTTTCTTTGGCTGCTTTTCTGACCCTAGTCCGATGTGTTCATGTTTCAAAGATGTCCTTTCATTGATCAGAAATTGAATCAACCACTTGCGCAGTCAAAGTACCACCAGAAAACCGAACTTTACAGACATCTGAGATTTACTGTCATACAAGTGTAAAAAGTAAGGTATCCAGTTATGAAGAAAAAACAATGACGCATGAGCTCCTTGAGGAGTGAACAGAGATAGCTGCTTCACATACTCTATACATAGCTGACAATCCACAAACATCATGTCAACTAACCATGTTGTGCAGAGGACCGCCTGACATTCAATCTGTAAATTGTTCTACAATAAAGCCAAACCAAAAAATGCGTGTTCTCCATCCATCAACATGCTGGGACATCCGTTACCAATGATGAGTGGTCCAAAATGTCAACCTCATAAGTACTTTTAAACTCCGCAAACCATCTTTAAGCTACAATAATAAAGCGGGATTGTTTCCTAATCACAGAAAAATGTTTTGACTTGGTACGTTGACTTAATTGATGGGCAAACTTACTGGCAGCTCACGTGCAGTGGCATGTGTTTGAAGCACCCCTGCCGTCTGTTGCTGCCTCTCTGGCTTATTGGCCCAGGCAGTCAACCACCACCAAAGCTTTTGAACTTATTTTTAGACATACCCATCTTGAAAACCGACATTTAGTGCATGTTCAGTCCGATGACTTAGCGATAACAGTTAGTTGATGACAACGCTACAATTAACCCCCACCCCGAACAAACGGTTGGATACAATTTAGATACGCAATGATCCCATTCATTCACTAATAAGCCTATGACAGCTGCTTCAGTCCCAAAACAAACTGTCCTGCTGCACGAACAGGATCCCAAGGGTACACATGCTCAGAACATAACAGAAGCAAGGTGTCCCTTATAAATTCCCAACTCATTATGCAACTCCAGTATATAACCCGGCTATGCTCAGCAGCCCGCAGTCACTCCAAATCACACTCAGCACGAGGAACACTTGATACTCCACTACACTCCACTGAAGAGAAAGGTAGGTTGTGGCCCACTAGACAACTTGTACTCTGATATTCTGCTGCCATAACTCCCTCTATTTTTTTCAATTTTTTTTCTCAGATCTGACAATGGATTTTATCCAACCGTCCACACTCCCCGTTGGTGGCATCCAATGGGAGAAGGTTTTACCGACACTTTTTCCTCGTCTCCATGGGACTTACGGACAATATAGCTGGACACCCCAACTGCTAATTCCAGAGATTGATAGTACCACGGCTGCAGAGGTGAATCTGTTTATTTACTTAATATGGGTTTAACATAGTTGGACAAGATAAATGATTTATTTAATTATGAGTGAGCTTTAAAGTGGGTCACTATATGCAGCCTAAAAGCTTTCAAGTGGAGAGTAAACCTCCGTCTCACATTTACATGTGTATAAATAAGAAACATTTAAATGTTTGTGCTCCAAAAGGAATTTAAAATTGGGGCTGTTTTAGTGTCAATAAGTCAAGTCAACTTTATTGTCAAATATGCTCTATGGCGCAACATATAGCACAGATGAAATTTCTTTCCTGATTCATTTCACTTTTATACTGTATTCATGATTTATCTTGTTTGATTGGATTCATTTAATCTTGCGAATTATTTTATGTTGACAGGCAATTTGTGATGATAGTGGATTTAAAGTTCAAGTGGATGTCAAACTTTTTAACCCCAAGGATCTCCTGGTCAAGGTGGTAGGAGATTTTGTAGAGGTACAAGGGAGGCACCAAGAAGAAAAGGTTGGTGTAGTGAGTGCATGGTAGATTGCAGGATTTTAAATGATGACTAAGGCAACAAGTCACTGAACATTTTATTCCCCTTACCATGTTCTTTTAGAAAGATAGTCCTGGGATGACAACACGGCAGTTTAACCGGCGCTATCGAATTCCAAAGGGAGTAGACACCATGGCTTTGGAATCAGCAGTTTCCCCAGATGGTGTCCTGATCATATCTGCACCCATGCTGCAAACAGAGATGTCCAGGTCTCAGCCATTCTCATAAAAAAAAAACATATTTGTTGGATTCTGATATGGCGCAGTCTCAGATTTGTAAATAACGCCATTGCACATCAACCTTCCATATTTTAAGAATGCACACTTTGTAAATATTGGTGATATGTGTGATGATGAACTTTTTATTGTATTGTATTCCTTCCATAATGTCAATAAATTACATACAAAAATCATATTTTAAAAATCGTCATGAGTTACTGCATCAGGATGGGGTATCTTCTTGTTTATCCAGGAAATTGTGCAACATTGAGTCCACTTCACTAGAAGGAATAGAACAGATACGATCTCAAAACATGACAGAAATGACATGAGATCTCAATTTAGGCTATTAAATGTTCAGTTGAGCAAATATATTTAACTGAGATGTTACCTGATTTGCTCCTTAACACATTTTCTTTGCGTGCGAAGGACTCGTAGTAAAGGGTCGTCTTCAAATTCTTTCTCATCTGAATCTGACAACAATGAATCATGATTACGGGAATTCAAAGAGTCTTTTTTTGTTGTTGTTGTTCCCACGATATGCCACTCATGTTACAAAATTAAGTGGATGTTTCGGAATGCGGAGGGGGGGGACAGCCGTACATGTGTCACAATGTAGTGCTCACAATTAAGAGTTGGGGTAAAGGTTGAGTGCCCTACGTTGCCCCCTCGGCTTACCTTCAGCCTCTTGCAGCAGCTGGAACATGACCTCCAGTGAGGTGTTTGCATTGCAAGAAGAAAGTGAGGATTGTGGAGGAGCAGGAGGTGATGGGACAGCTGCATCTTGTGGAGAAGAATTCTCTGGTGGGAACAGGACCTCTGAAACAACCTACCAGATTCAATTACAAAATCCTCCCGGTTAATCCATACAGAACACTATGATTTCCTTACAAATCCATCTGACGGGGCTGTTTACATTTTACACTACTTGATGTGGTGCTGTCATTTATAATGATCTCAAACAAGATGATTATAATTTCAGCGCTGTTAAATGTGTCCATTTGTTTACATGTGCTTACGTGCTGTTAATTCAGTCTGCTCTAGTCTATGCAATGTGTCAGTTCAGGCCAACGTCAACGCAGATCTCCATCATGGCATAACTCCTCATTCAATGTGACACTGGCATGGAAAATGGAGAACTCTTGCTACTTTACACACTAATGTAAAGGAGAGTCTGTTTAGTCAGGCTAGTGTAGCACATAAGTGTGTCTGCAATCGTTTAGTATATGTTTATTTGCTGGACCATACTTACTGTTCATCTTGACATTGTCAAATTTCTCAACAGGAACTAGTCAGATGGATGCATTTTATTCGGTAAAATTAATAATGAATACTGTATTTTCAATTCATTAGATGTTAATTGACTTTATTGTTGATCTAGGAACATTTGTCAAATGCCCATCCCTAATATCAATCAATGTTGGGGTGGTAATCTGAAAACAAAACACTGTCATATATTAAAACTGCCCGTATTTCCTGACAGTGGAATATTATTACATTAATCTTAAAAAAAAAAAAAAAAAATTAAAAATCATCCCTCTCTGTCCCTGTTTTATGCCTCAAATTTTGACAAGAACAGCCTATCATCGACTGTAGAGACAGAAGGCGTGACCAATGCGTGTTGTCAGTTATTTGTGGGCACACGCGGCAGCTGCGCAGGAACACTCAACATCGTTGGTTTCCATTGTACATTCCAAAAAGTAAAACTGCAAACTGGTGACAAACACTAAGTGTATGACAACACTCCAACATGAATAAGTCATGCTAGCAATGTAACAGTAGTGGCTAACTAAGACTGGCTTGTTTACAAATGTGCTCGTCTCATGCACATTCACGTCAACGAGGGGCACGGCTTCAGTCGGAGATGCAAGGGGGCAGGAAGGAGAGGAAGGCTAAATCAAATCTTGTTAGCAGTTTGAAAGCTGTTAACTCCCCTTGTAATGGGACATAATTTATATCAGGATGTGCATGAAGATGATGACAATAACTTGGATACAAGTGGTGAAGCTGTGTACACGCTGACCTGTCCTAAGGCACGATGTAGCGCCGATGGCGGTGCATGACTGCCTGTATCATTGCATCTCTTCTGCTGCTGTGGATCTGCCCGTTTCTTGATCTTTTTTGTAAGCTTCTGATCTGCAGAACTTGTCGCGCTAGTCACGTCAGCATGCTCACAACATCCAGTACACCTGCAGAAATTGCACATCACATGAAGCAGTCAACGTGAAGTGTAAACGCAAAACATGACACCGGGTACACGTCTTTGGATTGTACCTTGTCAATTTATTTTGCTTCCTGATGATCCCCTCTCTCTTCTCACTGTCACCCACTTGCTTTGCTTGGGCTTTTTCAGTTTTAGACGTCTTATTTGTCATTCTGGGGTTCTCCGGATGATTTCCATTGACAGGTCGAGACTGACTCCCTTCGTCCATGTGTCTAGAAGGACTGTCATCTTCCTTAGGTTTTGAAGGATCGCCGACTTTGATTTCTTTACGTCTAGAGGGACAGCCTCCTTCTGAATGTCTTGATGGACTGCTGCCTTCTCGAGGCACAGAATGATTCCCTCCATCTCTAGGTCTAAAAGGACAACCCACATCTGGATGTTGAGAAGGAGCAGGAGGTGGTGTTGGAATGTGTCTGTGAGGAGGCTCATCTATGTAACTGTGCTTTAAGTTTCCAGAGACTTTGGCTTCTTTATTTAAGGTCTCTTCCGGTTTGTGTGGATTGCCATAGAACTTGCCAGCATGAGGTGACTGTGTGGGACAGGGAAGAATATCACAAAGGTGATGCATGTGTGCAGGAACATGCTCAAGAGAGTGTGGTTGGGAGACTTGTATATCACAGGTAGCACTGGCAAGGGGGGCGGAGGTTGAGGGGTGATGTCCAGGGGCTTCTTTGGGAACCAGAAAAGCTCCTTGGGAGTCTTCGGGGTACTGAATACTTGACTGCTGCTATGGATGATATAAACAAACGCAAAGTGACATTAAATACATTGAAATACAGATCCAGTAAATCTAGCATAAGAGCTGCTGTCAACTGACACAACCTTCTGTTTTAAACAGGCAGCTGTCTGGCCCTTTTTATGGCAGAAGTTTTCTGGTTGGAGTAGTTATGATATGATTGTGCAGAATACAGAATGAACTGCACCATCAGTGTACGGCATATAAGGAATGCTGTAACTATGACTCCTACCTTGTAAGGATGAACATTTACTGTGGAAAAGTGAAGACTGGGGCCTGGGCCTCTAAATGTGGGGGTACAAAGTCTGGAGTTTTGCCAGGACTGACATTGTTCACTGGCTTGCTCCATCTTTCTTCTCAAACGCCACTGTGAAAGGATGTCCTCAGGGGGCGCCGGTAATGAGGCGACAACGTATCTTTGGTGGGGCACAGCTGAAGCGGAGTCCAACGTGGCCATTGCTGCAAAGACCACAATATACATGGCAGGGAGGAGTTAACACACTAAATGAAGAGAATGTGACAAAATAACCGATACGACGTGTGTCTTACTCGCTGTAGATTTTATTGAAGTGTTAATCACAGGTCTTTGCATTGTCTCGTTCATATCGACTGGAGAAGAGCGATCTGAGCATCCCACACCCTCTGAACTGACAAGAATTGATCCACTGCTGAGAATACTGTCACTGTTAAAAATGACAATAAGATCATCCAAGTTCAGGAATGAATTGATGCAATATGAATAATAGGGACTAGCAGATTTGCAAACCCTCTCTGCAGAAGTCTACTGGCCCTTTCTTGAAGGTGAAGTATCTCGGTGTCCTCCAACTCACTCTGAGATGTGTCTGATGGAAACTGAGTTAAAAAAGAAAAAACATTGAATGGGAAGCGAGACATTTTTGTGAACATCACAATGTTTATGATTGCATTTGGCAAAGAAAAACTGGTCTGTCTCCGTGTACTGTATATAAAGAACAATACTATAGAAACAATTGATTTCAAGAGTTCAATTCAAAAATTAAAACTCATGTCATAAACTGTATAGGCTCACTGCACATCGGGTGAAATATGGCCTGATTTTGTTTTTTAATAATGCACGGTTATAGCTTGTAGCTAACAAAAAAACTTCACCATCCCAAGATTGAATCAAATGTATTGTAAACACAGTAATTAGGTAGGAAGTGACCTACCGAAAAGTATTTTCTTATCCGTTTACTGAATCTGTATAATATACAGTAGCTTTCACGTTTTAAAATGAATAGCATGAACTGAATAACTTTTCAGTCACTTATTAAGAAGCACATGTATCTCAAACATGATAAACACTAACAAAGATTCGGACAAATATCATTCGGATAGGTGTAGAGCTGAAATTTTAAGTACATTAGAATGGCTGTTTTGTTTTTTGTTTTTTACCCACTTAGCATTTTCTAGATATGACCTATAAAAACAACCACAACAATTATCAGAGAGGCCATAAAACCTCTATTTATATCATAGATGAAGGTTTTATGGCAAGAAAATGCTATATTGTTGCTCATTCCCAGTGAACATACATATGCATTCATATTGTAGTCTCCTCTGCTGCATGGTGAAGAATTAAAGTCATCAAGTGGGCGGTCTGCTGGACTGGAGATTGCTTGGTTGTGGTCATCTTTCGGATCCGGCATAAAAAGACAAAAAGGAGATATTTTCACATTTAAGGAAGATGATCATTTAATCCCAAATTTTGTACCTGTGTGTGAGATCTTAGTTGGCATAAAACTAGGACGTAAGGATGAGGAAGACATCCACCACAAAGGTACCCTCTCCTGTTCAAATTCAGAGGACATCAACTGCCGCTCCTCTCGACTCAGCGGTTGTCCATAGCGAAAACGATCAATGTACCTGTGAGAGCAATGTACCTGGTTCATGAAGCAATTTTACAGACTAAATCATCATGATTTCATTTGTCTTGTAAATCTCAATCATACTTTGTCACTACTGAATCCCGGTGAGCTTCTAGTTGAGAGGAAACAGTACATTTTGGAACTCTTGAGGATATTGAAGGTCCTTCCATGTCAGATGAGGTAGGAGAAGAAACCCGGTCAATGGAAGGTCCAGAATGTGTAAAGAAAGATGATCCCTGTTTGTCAGGCCAGTGATTCTCATTTTTGTCATGCGTGTGCAATGTTCGATGGTCTTGCTGGTGTGAACGGACAGGAATCAAACTCTACAAAGAGCAAAATATGTTTTTAAAATGCAAACAAAGGAGTGGTGTCACACCACTTGTGTCCATATAATTCGTAACTTATGTCAGACATACCTGTTTGTTCCTTTTGTTTGGCAAGTCCTTGGTGCGAGACTGGCTGAAGGATGACTTCCCCATTAGAAAAGCTGCTGGCTCGGATGCATTCTGCTTTATTGTTGCAGAATTTCTAAAATAGAAAATATAATCATACATATTCATTATAATCATACAGAGGAAATTCAATTTACATTCATTTGTCCGGAGTGAGCTTCAAACTGTAAACCTCCAGTTCCAAAGCCCAAAATTCCTGGTTTGAGTCCCACTGTGAACAAATGTGAGATGGAAACTACTGTACTTGTTGGAGCGATGCTATTTTGCTTCCTGATTACCGTCATGGAACCCTTGTGCAAGGCACCAACCCTACTACGCCTCAGAACAATAAGTTTTGGACATATCTGGTCTTGCTTGAGCTTACCTGGATTTCATGAAAGCTGATGCTGTCAAATAGAACCAGAATAGGTTGCCAAACAATTGTGCACAGCAAAGGATGTTTAAGAGTGGATTAGGGTTATTTAAAAAGTTCGCGCGTGCTGATCCCAAATTACAATGGTTTTAGAGTAACTTCAGCAGCCAGTTTACGCACTCAAGATGTACACGAAACAGAAGTTCAATGGATTCAAACGTTTTCAGACTACAAAGTCTTGGTAGGCAAACATACTAATCTGCTCCGTGTACTCTTCTGAAAAGAATTGTATCCATTAGGTCTAACTTCAGCCTACAATGATACCGCCGTTACCGTCAAAAACTGCCAAGCGAAAGAATACTACCGGTCGTTGTTGACATCGAGACTATCAACCAATAGACGTGGGGCTTGCTATGAGCGACATAATAATTGACCAATCGTCATGAGCGTTATCGATTCCAAAACACCAATCGGTAAATAGGAAAAGGACAGCGCGCGGAAGTGGAAAGTCTTTTCGGAGGCTAAAGCTATAATGCTGAGCCTTATCTTCTGTTATGGACGTTGCGCGTTCACATGCTAAGAAGTCATTTAATTTACACGTGAGCATAATTTACGGAATCGGCGAAGAATTTTAGCTGTATTTGTTTCTGCGGTGATATTGTGGAGTGGCGAACCACGGTTTGGTGATTCAAGCTAATGGCAAGACTTGCTAGGTGTTTCAAAACATAAGCAGTCGCCGATTTGAAAGAGGACGACTCCAGCTTGATTACTCAATTTTAAGTCAGGCACTACCATAAGGATACAATGCATCACGTCAAGGTCAAAGTCGAAAGGCCAGGTAAACTGTTGTGTTTTTTCTTGCTACACTTTATTACCTTTACTGTAGGAAGAAACAGATTAAGTCATCTCTTTTTATCATACTCCTTTCTGTATGTATGTAATATTATGCAACTCATAAGTGTTGAGCATTAGGGGCGGTCCTGTTTATTGGCGGTTGTGACATCAGTAAAGATGAAAACGTTTCAGATTAAAAAAAGTAAAGCAACATTTATGCTTAAACGTAAACTGTCTCGGCATGAGTTATAGCCGAAAGCAATTCTTGGTCGGAAGAGCGTTATGTTCCCAGTCATGGTAACAAAGCGATTCACGTGCATAATCCTTAATACAAGGGAATCTCAGTATATTTACACCAAATAAATAAAATGTTGTCTCTTAAGATGTGGAGGGGGCCGCAGCACGCAACAGATTGGATTCTATTTTAAAGGGACTGGTGGAGAAAAGTGAAAACGAAAGGTTAGTATTTGATTCCATTTGAAATGGACTGATAGTCATCTGATCGTCATAATTAATGCGACTTCACTTTGAGCAGGGAACAAAACGAGAGTGAGGCTGGAAAAATGGCACTTGACTCGATGAGCAAGTAAGTCCAAGATGTATTGAATTAACTATACATTATGCATAGTAGTGTGGTGAATGTTATTGTACTATTTCAATGTACATTTATGAAAATGTAGATGTCAGCTTTTTAATCATAATTCTCTCTCTTTCACAGGGATTTGTCCCCATTGTCTGCTGGAAAACGGTAAATATTTACTTTTTTTTCCATTAAAAACATTGCATGCAAAAAAAAAAAATAGATGACTTATATTCTTATTTTAATTTCTAGGCCATCTACAAGATTCCCACAGCATCGTCGCAAAAAGCGCAAAGAGCTGGATGAAAGCATAACAGAGAGCAATACTCACAGACAAAGTAAAATAGATATTTATATCTTTGTTTTTACCCCCTTCAAAGAAAAGAAATCTCAAAGTAATATGTCTCTTCAGTGTCCTGTTGGAATGTATTGTGGTTGCTGTGTTGTTGGGTTTTTTGTATCTTGAATTGACCTCACTATATCTGTTTTCCAGATGCTTACATTATAAAGTTGTTTGACCGAAGTGTGGATCTGGCTCAGTTTAATGCTAGCACCCCCTTGTATCCTATTTGTCGTGCGTGGATGCGAAATAACCCGTCCGTCCGAGAGCCCAGTGAAGTATCCCCAAGATCTCCACAGGTCATGCTAGAGGAAGAGGTAAGGGCCACTTATGACAACTTAACTTAAAATCATCATTAAGCTAAGATCCTGAAAAAAACTCAATTCATTTTCCATGTGCAGGTCACAGACATGATCAATGGCAAAGAGCAAATTGTATACAGACTACCTGCTCCAACCGCATCTCCCATCAGCCCTTCTGGTGAACCGATCAACCTCAGGATCCCACCAACTGAAAAACCCACAGTCACCAAGGTTCGCGACATATTCTTGTTACTCTGTTATACACATCAGTGTATTGCAATGTAATATCATTCCATCCATCCAGTCAAGGAAAAAAAATGAGGTGCAACTTTATTTCTGTTAGAGCTGCAAGATGCAGCATTTGAGTATGGTTTTTAAAAGAGTCACATTGCAGGTCCTGCGATGCATCGTGGTACTACGTCTTAAAACATGGGTTGTCTTTGCAGGATTTTTTCTGTATTTATTTTTTTACACAAAATAGCTGTGATGTTAGACAGGGAGTGAACAATTCTCCAAAAGAGGCAAAACGTGTGTGTCAAGCTGTTTGTCAGTCACTCAGTTGAAGTTTACTGTAAAACTGATAACTAAACAGAAATAATTAAACAAGAAACGTCCACTACCTCAATGCTTACATTGACTAATGTGAAAAGCTCCAGATATGATAATGAAAGTTAGCACCAATTTTATGGTCATTCTAAATTTACAAACATAGCGGCCCCGAGTGTTATATGAAAGTATGATAACAAATCATGATCACACGGAAACAAATGCCGGCATGCATGGACTGTATTGTGCTTCAGCATGCAACAAGTGCACACCTTGCAACAAATTACATTTGAGGTAAGGGGTGTTCGGGCTACTGCGATTCTTGAAGAGACAAACTTAAACGGTGCCTGTGTCATGTTAGCTAATGCACTTAAATATTAATATTACGTGAATGTTATCTTCCTGTTCAGTTAACAGATTCTGTGCCTGTATCGGGTTCCTACCTCGGTGACCACATGGAGCGATGGAAAAAGATCAGACAAAAGTATGTGACTCATGTTATTAGAATCTGTTCATATGAAATGTGCGAAGTGATGTAAAAAAAGTCTTGACCAGGTATTAAATTAACTTGAAGATTTCTGTCTACAGTCAGCCCGAGCTTTTCACAGGGGTTGGGGACCAAGACCTGCTCCAAATATAGTAAATTTGCAAAAAGTAGATGCCCCTCTTAGAATCGTCTATACAGTGAACAACCCCCGTTAATTATGGGGGATATTTTCCAGACACACCACCTAGTATAGGTGAAAATACATGATATCAGACCATATGAAAAACTTTTTGGGGATAGGTTTTCAATCCCACATGCGTTTAACATATTTAAACTTATTGAAATACGCATAAACTAAATGGCAAAAGTGTAGAAAATACTGCATGTTTTGAAGAATTGTCTGTGTGTTTGATATGTGGACCCTGGTAGGGTGTGGGGTGAGGTTGGCAAGTCTTTGCGTGAGTGTGCTCAAAACTTAAAAATGCATGAGCAACGGTGGCTTTGCTATTCGCCATAAACCAGTTTCCTACAATATAGCTGCGATGTAGCCAGATGACAGCGAGGAAATCCCAGGTGACCAGTTTGAAAGAGGCCGAAGACGCCGACTTCAAATAAACACCTTGTAAAAAAATGTGCATGTCCACGATGACAAGTATCCCAAACCTATACCGAAACTTTGTTTATGTTTACATGTACTGCCGAGTACAATGTGCATTAAATGTGAAAATAAATAATTGCCACTTATTTTCCCTTTTTTCCCCAGATGGAAGGAATGTTCAAACAAGAACCAGTTGCGCTACAGTGAGAGCATCAAAATCCTTAAGGAGATGAAGGACTTCTATGATCACTAATTGACAACACTGCAAGTTCTCATGTACTGCCCTTCAAAAGTATTGGAATAACAATGCCATTTCAGTGCTTGCATTTGATATGCAGTGCAACTTTTTAAGATTAAGATTAGAAGCATTACTTGTGACGAAACACCATTTTTTTTTTTTTTTTAAAGGGGAGCAAAATTACCTGAGCAGATACACTTAAGTGGACATAAATCACTAAGCCTTAACTCGTAGTTAGTATTTATTTGTATATCATATCCTTGCAATTTCTGCATCGTGTGTATCCCATTGGCACCACCATACTATCACATTTGGCGTTTGTGATTCTTGAGCTGAGCTCAAACCCTGCGTAAGGCTCCAAGGAGTGAGGTTTTACTAATGTACAATCACGCAGCCGTAGCTGGCATTCCTCACATCTGTGGCTGAAAAAGCGAAACATGGAGAGCCTCTGCCACTGAATTGCTCATGCGCAGTCAATGAATGGACCCAAGAGCCTTTCAAGATACTTTATCAACTCCCCTTTGTTTATAAAGCTTGCTAGAGCAAATGTGGTTCTTTTTTGCAATCATACTGTTGTTTTTGGTTCATTAAAAAAAGGAGTACATGTGACGCTGCAAAATGTTTCCTGGCAACAGTCTTGCATTGCGGTATGTATTTTTTTTTTTTTTAAATACAGTATTTGTTTTCCTCTCTTGGGCAGTTGTGCAGTTAAGTTGTGTTGGGCCACATCTTTTCTGACAAAACCTAGCCTTTGTTTTTTTTTTAAAGTCTGGGTTAGAAACCGGCAGTGACTGTGTATCGCATCACTGACCAGCAATCAGGCCCTCTGGGAATAAAAGATCTTTGTCTTAATTTCTTGTCTTACCTTACTCATCGTTTGATGTCAAAACTGAACATCTACAGAAAAAAATAAAGGAATTGTCATAATACTTCAGAATTGGAGTGCATTTGGACTGTCATCACCATTCGCATAGTAACCTTAATCTTCAAATAGATGTTGATGACATTTAAGACTGAATAAATCAATGTACAGTACTCACTGTTAGCAATTGTCTTCTGCGGGCAGTTTTTTTAAACTAATAGAACGTCTAGTGTTAGTCCTTTTTTGGATTAATGTTTAAATTTTGCACTTGTACTTTGGATGCTCATCTCCCGTTTCTATTGCATACAGTAGCTATTCATTCAACATATCCGTGAAAGTTGATGCTCCCCCCGAATTCAAACAAAACAAAATACTTTTGAAATGCAAGCAATATTACTAATATAAGGTAAAGGGTTTTCACGAGAGTAAAAATACATGTCGGCAAGATCAAGATTTTACAGAAACATCGGTCAGCATGATAAATATCTCTGCATATAAATATTTGAGGACAGGCCTGAAGTTAAATCAGGATAGCATGCAGTGTTAACAGTTCCTCCATATGTCAGGTGCAATTAATTAAAAACACCTAAGTAAAAATATAGTGCATACATGAGCTTTGTGCGTCATCCTCAAATAATTAGCCAGACAGAAATGCAAAACCCATGTAAAACTTTAACTCTTTATTTTATGCACAGATTAGATGGATAGGAAGTGGTCGCGAGCGTTCCAGTCATATCGAAATGATAATGATCACAAATGACCACTTAGATGACAAGTGCATGGGCGCATATTGGCATCAGTTTTCAGGAATGGTTTGCAATTTAATTGGAGGCGATGGTTCTGTCAATCCAGCTGCGCAGGTAGGACACACGGGCGTACACGGCAGGGGTGCGCACGTTGCAGTTGGAGGTGCCCCAGGACACGATGCCCACAAGGTTCCAAGCTCCACCATTGTGGCACACCAGGGGGCCACCAGAATCACCCTAAGAAACACAAGGAAAAATGAATGTTAGATTTCTTTGTCCAATCAGATTTCAGCCTTGCACACCTCTTTAAGAGTGTTAAACCAGGAAATAGGTTTTTCACTTTTGTTGTCTTCATTGTTTCCATAATTGTGTACTGACTAATGCATTCCAACCAAAGATTGTCCAGCCATGTCGGAAATCTGTACTCAGCTGAGTGCCGTCCCAATTGTCGTTTAACTTGTGTGTCAAGGAGAAGTGGGAGAATGTAATCTTACCTGACAGGACGAGACTCCGGAAGCACCAGCACAGATCATAGCATCAGTGATTCTGTTGTAACCCCAGTACTGCTTGCACTGAGTCGGGCTGAGAATAGGCAAGGAGGTCTGCTGCAGGTAACGGGGGCTTGCTGTGAACACAAAGCATCAAGACCACTTTTAAATCTTCTATTGCGCCGACAATATTTGACGTGCGTTTGTCACTAACAAGTTTGTCCGGTCCTGCCCCATCCAGTGGTGACACATCTGGTTCCGGTGGGGATGCTGGTGCTGGAGCTGGCCAGGCACACAGGAGCCACGGTCCTGGTTATCTGAACTGGAGAGGACAGCTTCAGAAGGGTGATGTCGTTGTTGAAGTTCTGGGAGTTGTAGTAGGGATGCGAGATGGCCTGTACGGAAACATCATCGTTAGCATCTTTGCAACACAAGGACATATTTGTATTTGTACTCCTGTTAATGCACAATTGGATCTGTTGACACTACTTACCCTGGTGATGGTCTTGACCTGAAGTTGCTCTTGGTTGGATTGACGATCGTGCTCACCCAGGATCACGCGGTGGCTTCTGGGACTATAAAATTAAAAGAGTTATTGGGGGGGGAATTAGGATCCAAATGATCTTTTTTCGCCGAAAATATGTGTGAAACAAACTGGCACGACATAAGCAGCTAAGAGTAAAATTAAATCAAGATGAGTCAAAATCAGTAGTAATAAAATACTAAAGTAATAAAATTGAGTTTTTCTTTGTAATTCTAATGTTGATTATAGTTAGTGGATAATTTGAAAGTTAATGCGTTGAAATGCATGGCAGTTACCTCTCCACTCCTGTTGCCATCAAATGCTAATGCTGAGCCTCGAACATGCAAAATGCATTTCAATACTTCACAAGAGCAGATGCCCGTGTTACGTCATGTTCCCAAACACTTTGTCAAAGATCTGACATCCATGAGCAATGCAATAAATACAACAAAGAGCCAAATAAATGTTTTGTTTTGTTTTTTTGGGGGGGCGTGGGGGGTATTAAGGTAACTCAGGCATGGCTCACAGTCCTTTCTGAAAGTGAAGCATTACAGAGATCAATTTTAACAAAACAAGCCAACCTAAATGTGTCCAACCTTACTATGTTCACTCATTATAGTCACAATTTCGCATCATGGCCTCAGAATGAAGAAATAGGTGAAGCTTTGCAAGACGATTTTTAGTGTTCAAGAGCGCCAATGGGTTTTTTTTCACCATTTTAAATTGCTTAATATTGCATAAAAATAACAAAGCGAAGACACACTCTTGGTATCAATTTGTGAAAAATATTAATTTTGACTGCCCAAGAGCGACGATTTTAAAAACAACAGTGCTAATTTACAATGAAGATAATGATACTTAACACTTTCTATAATGTGGAAATACTTCTATTTACAAATGAACATAAAAACAGATGACACTTTGACTGCCACCTTGGCATCAACTAGGTGTATGAAACAACCAATTGGGAGGTACTTACGACACACGGCAATGAGCTGCGGTAACGACCCATTGCTGGTTAATCAGAGATCCGCCGCAGAAGTGGAATCCCCTGCCATCCTAGGAAATAGAAATTGTGTACATTAAAATCTTTCATCTTTTTGACAATAGTTGCGTATACAATGGCAGGGGATGGAGATAAGGTTGGTGAGCATACCTGAAGTGAGACCTGCCACGGCCAGGACCCAGGCACAGCATTCTCTCCATTTACAATCTTGTTGAAGCCGCTGACTTGGGGAGTGATTGAAGGCCTCCCACATCCTGAGACCAGATCAAAATATCAACACATACATTATTCCACAAGATTTCAACATGTATGAAAGACACAGCCAAAAGTGTAGGTTTTATAAATGGGCACCGTCAAACTTTTTAGTTTGACAACCTCCGAAGTGTCCTGTAATTGAGTGAATGAATGCATGTGACTCACCCAATGCAGAGGCAACAAGTGCAAAACAAGTGATGAACAACAACATGGCTTTGTCCGGGCTGTGAATCACGTCCGTGAGCTTCTGACATGTGGGACACTTGCTTTTATAAGAGCCTGTCCTACGCTGACCATGAGCTCCATGTGTTCAGGTGCGATAGGTCTGGGAACGTGAACAACTGCAGATAAACGCTTGGAATGGAATCAAAACTATCAACAAATTCTTGGACTTTTGATTGGTTTTCACATAAACACCATAGAAATCCACCCATCTCTCTGTCAGTTTTCTATACCGCTTTTCCTATTTCGGGTTCACATGGGAGTGGAGACTAAACCAATTGACTTTGGGGAAATGGGAAACTACATCCTGAACTGGTTTGCAGCCAGTCATAGGATACACCTTAAAAAAAAAAAAAGAAAAAAGAACAAAACATTCTGCACTCATGGGTCGCAATAATATGTACACTTGCACATTCTATCAAGATCCCTATACGGTGGCTGTATCAAACTTGCTCATACGTGTAAAATATGTTACTTTTTGATTCGATCTCATTAGATGGTATCGCATGTATGCGTGATGACATCACCAGTGAATGTGTTTGTCTTTCAAGGTAGTATGTGTATTTAAAGTTAAAATCCTAATCTAAATATATGGATGCTAATAAGTAAATGGTACAAAATAAACCCCACAAAATAATTCCAAAATTCGATTTTACACACCAAATAGACTAAGAAATAATCCTTTTCTCTCCTTTAAGGATATACATTTGCAATACTGTACATGTGCATGTGACTTACAATCCAGAATTGTTGAGACCGCCAATGTCGTTCCATGCCAAATCACCCAATAGGTTGAACCAAGTAGATTCTGATTTAAATGAAAGTTGGTGTAGTCGTTGATAGTGATGGTGCAACACAAAATCTCAAATTTTAGGTCAATGGGAGCAGGGGTTGTGCCATGGGGCGGCACGGTGAATGACTGGTTAGCACGTCGGCCTCACAGTGCAGAGGTGCAGGGTCCGATTCCGGCTCCGGCCTTCCTGTGTGGAGTTTGCATGTTTTCTAATGGAACACTCTAAATTGTCCCTCAATGTAACTGTGACCGTGAATGGTTGTTCGTCTATATGTGCCCTGCGATTGGCTGGCAACCAGCTCAGGGTCCCCCCTGCCTCCTGTCCGACGACGGCTGGGTTAAACTCCAGCATGCCCGTGACCCTTGTGAAGATAAGCCAATTAGAAAATGGATGGATGGATGTTGTGCCATGACTACCAATAAGTACACCCCAAAATCAAAATTTTCTTGATTGAACCCACTGAATGATTTGGTATGGAACGACCCTAATGGGTATTTCCTTGTTCAGGTGCACCAAATGTTTTCATTTTTTTCAACATTTAGCATGTGAAGATAGTTGTTGCACAATTACAGCAGCACATCTGTGTTATATTTTCTGTGACTGTGAAGCTTTTCAACAAAACAGTTTAAGAAAAAAAAAACGCACAGACATTGCCATCTCAATCTTTATTGATATGGTGTATTTTAGTACAGGAAGCATTCGTAGAATTGAGTTATGTCATCAGTGGATTCGTCAAAGTGTAGACATTTTTACTTCAATTTGCCTGATACTTTAACTGAACTTGATTTAGAACTCTTCAATGTAAAGCATTCACATCGTGTGCAGTTTTTTTTTTTTTATTTTGCTAAAAATAAATCACTACATTTGGAGATAGTGTTATTTTCATTTGCTAGTTTCTGTTTTTATTTAATGTGCATTCTGAGAAAAGCTTGAAGACAGTAATGTCAGGAGATGAAATTTCAGCACTACAAGAGCAGGGTGTTTAGTCAACCTCCTCAATAGTCGGCCCAGCGGAACCACCTTCAGCTCCACCGGGGAAACCACCAGGCATCCCCCCTGGCATTCCACCAGGCATTCCCCCTGCCGTGCCCCCTTGGTAAAGTTTGGACATTATGGGGTTGCAAAGTTTCTCCAGCTCCTTCTGCTGGTGCTCGTACTCATCTTTCTCTGCCGTCTAAATTACAGAAAGGGGAAAAAAAATAATGAGAGTAAACATGAAGTCACTTGTTTGTCAGGTAATAATATTTGGAGACAGTATTTTCACAATGCCCAGAGCCGTCGCTGGATTTCAGTCACTCCTGATTAATCTTTACCTGGTTCCTGTCCAGCCAGGAAATGACTTCGTTGCACTTGTCTATGATGGCCTTTTTGTCTTCTGGGCTGATCTTGTCCTGAAGCTTCTCGTCCTCCACGGTGTTCTTCAAGTTGAAGGCCAAAGACTCAAGGGCGTTCTTAGCTGTGACTTTTTCTCTCTGGGCCTCGTCTTCACTCTTGAACTGTTCGGCCTCCTGCACCATTCGCTCGATGTCCTCCTTGCTCAGTCGCCCTATGGCAAAAAGAAACCTCGATAAGTTTGACTACTTTCGTGTGGTGTAGTTTATGCTTTTGGAGAATTCAAGCACCTTTGTCATTGGTGATGGTGATCTTGTTCTCTTTTCCGGTGCTTTTGTCGACAGCAGACACATTGAGAATTCCATTAGCGTCAATGTCAAAAGTCACCTCAATCTGGGGGACGCCCCTGGGAGCGGGCGGAATACCGGTAAGCTCGAATTTGCCCAGGATGTTATTATCCTTGGTCATGGCTCGCTCACCTTCAAAAACCTAAAATAAAATGCATACGGTGAAATAGCGATGTGGCGCAAGAGTAATAAATTGGGAACATGGGGATGGCGTTACCTGAATGAGCACACCAGGCTGGTTGTCAGAGTAAGTGGTAAAGGTTTGAGTTTGCTTTGTGGGGATGGTGGTGTTCCTTTTGATAAGCACAGTCATTACTCCTCCAGCGGTCTCAATTCCCAGCGATAAGGGGGTGACATCCAGCAGGAGCAGGTCCTGTACATTCTCAGACTTATCGCCAGCCAAGATGGCAGCCTGGACAGCTGAAGAGCGTTTCCACATACAACGCATACAGTTTCCACATTCAACATATTTTCAAAAATTCACGTCTATTCGTAATAGAGGTACTTACCCGCTCCGTAGGCCACCGCCTCATCAGGGTTGATGCTCTTATTGAGCTCACGGCCGTTGAAGAAGTCCTGCAGAAGCTTTTGGATCTTGGGGATACGAGTGGAGCCACCCACCAGGACAATATCCTGGATCTGGGCCTTATCCATCTTGGCGTCCCTCAGGGCCTTCTCCACGGGCTCCAGGGTTCCGCGGAACAGATCAGCATTGAGTTCCTCAAAACGAGCTCTGGTGATGGATGTGTAGAAGTCGGTTCCTTCGTAGAGCGAGTCGATCTCAATGCTGGCCTGGGTGCTGCTGGAGAGGGTGCGCTTGGCACGCTCGCAGGCGGTGCGCAGGCGACGCACCGCTCGTTTGTTGGTGTTGATTTCCTTTTTGAATTTGCGCTTGAACTCGCCAATGAAGTGATTCACCATTCTGTTGTCAAAGTCTTCACCGCCCAAGTGAGTGTCACCCGCAGTGGACTTGACCTCGAAGATGCCATCCTCAATGGTCAGAATGGACACATCGAAAGTGCCTCCCCCGAGGTCAAAGATCAGGACGTTGCGCTCACTTCCTACCTGAAATACAAATTTCAAAATCAAAATCGACCTCACTGGATGTTCTGATCCACCTGGATTTTGCTTTGTCTTTCTCAAGCGACTCCATCTTTCTCCCAGTGTCAAAAACAAGCAATATTAGTTGAATTGAAGGTTCCAACCTCTGTCAGCCCGTAACTGACTGATGATTTGGGATATAACGCAGAGTCTGCTATCACTCACCCATGACCCTGGATAGGCTAAGCATACCCGGTAATAGAATTCATTGGATGAATAATTTGTATATTTGTTTACCTTTTTGTCCAAGCCATAGGCAATGGCTGCTGCAGTGGGCTCATTGATGATGCGCAGCACATTAAGCCCTGAAATGGCCCCAGCGTCTTTGGTGGCCTGACGCTGAGAGTCGTTGAAGTAGGCAGGAACGGTGATGACTGCATTAGTCACAGTCTACAAAATAGAAGGATTGGTTTCAAAAACATTCTTTGGTATTCTATGAAGCTCTATTTAGAATTGAAGGCTCCAACCTCTGTCAGCCCGTAACTGACTGATGATATAACGCAGAGTCTACTATAACTCACCCATGACCCTGGATAGGCTAAGCATTATAGAATTCATTGGATGAATAATTTGTATATTTGTTTACCTTTTTGTCCAAGCCATAGGCAATGGCTGGGGGAGTGGGCTCCATG